TGAACTCTGGCCCTGTCCCACCCCCTCGCGGCTGTAAACCGCGTGGCTGTAAACCGGCGGTTGCAGTTCTGTAAAGGGACGGGCAAGCAGTCCCAATACTAACTTTCCCCTACCTAATTCACAGCAGGGAGTCATGCCAGACATCACCCTCCTGAAGGTCTCGGAGAGCCAGAAGGAGAAGATGCTCCGGGACAGCCTGCAGAAACCGGGGCCATTTGCTGCAATGCTCTGCAAGGCCATGATCCCGGAGTACCTGCTGGCGTTGTGGCAGGGAAACGTGTCCTACCACGGGGGGCCTAATAAGCTCTCCCTGCCCAGGAATCTGCTCATGAGGCTGGAAAAACACCTGCAGGAGGCGTATGAGGAGTTCTCCCCGGAGGATCTCGCCTCTATCCCCGGTTACATTGACCAGTTCTTGGCTTAGGTGCCCTTGGAGGGACAAATGACTGCAGGGTTTTGGGCACTATAATCATGAAGCGGACATTGTGAAATTTTTTGAAAATGGTTCGGACTACATATTGAGGCGCCCAAAGACAGACTAATCATGATACACTTTGCACAGATTCCCCTTTTGTTTGACTTTCCTGTTTACATGTTTTGAAGCACTTTACCCACTGTTAATATTTTAAATCTTCCTGTTTTGTTGTAAATAAATGTTTACATGTTTTAAAGCACTTTAGCTACTGTTAATATTTTAAATATGCCAGTTATGTTGTAAATAAATGTTTAGATATTTAAAACACTTACTGCTTGATCCTTCCCCTGAATCTGTGTCTGGGGTAACGGCGGGGGACGGTTGGTAGGGGATCTCTGTCAGGGTGATGAAGAGCTCCTGGCTGTCGGGGAAATCAGCGGTGCCAGCGCTGTCGACTGCCTCGTCCTCCTCATCTCCTTCTTCATCTTCCCCGTCCGCTAACATGTCGGAGGAACCGGCCGCGGACAATATCCCATCCTCAGAGTCCACGGTCAGGGGTGGGGTAGTGGTGGCGGCCGCACCTAGGATGGAATGCAGTGCCTCGTAGAAACGGGATGTGTGGGGCTGGGATCCAGAGCGTCCGTTTGCCTCTTTGGTCTTCTGGTAGCCTTGTCTCAGCTCCTTGATTTTCACGCGGCACTGCGTTGCATCCCGGCTGTAGCCTCTCTCTGCCATGGCTTTAGAGATCTTCTCATAGGTCTTTGCATTCCGTCTTTTGGAGCGCAGCTCGGAAAGCACGGACTCATCTCCCCACACAGCGATGAGATCCAAGACTTCCCGATCCGTCCATGCTGGGGCCCTCTTTCTATTGGATTGCACGGCCATCTCTGCTGGAGAGCTCTGCATCGTTGCCACTGCTGCCACTGCTGCTGAGCTCGCCACGGTGTCCAAACAGAAACTGCGCTTCAAACTGCCCAGACAGGAAAATGAATTCAAATTTTCCCGGGGTGTGGCTGGTCAGAGCATCCGAGCTCGGACTGCTGTCCAGAGCGTCAACAGAGTGGTGCACTGTGGGATAGCTCCCGGAGCTATTAGCGTCGATTTCCATCCACACCTAGCCTAATTCGATATGGCCATTTCGAATTTAGCGCTACTCCTCTCGTTGGGGAGGATTACAGAAATCGATTTAAAGAGAGCTCTATGTCGAACTAAATGGCTTCCTGGTGTGGACGGGTGCAGGGTTAATTCGATATAACGGCGCTAAATTCGACATAAAAGCCTAGTGTAGACCAGGCCTAAGGGGAAAACCAATTGAAGACAGTTGGCAGTTTTTCAGAGACTTTATTAAGGGCACAAGAGCAAACTAGCCCACTGCGTAGGAAAGATAGGAAGTATGGCAAGAGACCACCCTGGCTTTACCAGGAGATCTTCAATGATCTTAAAATCAAAAAAGAATCCTACAAAAAGTGGAAATTAGGTCAAATTACAAAGGATGTTTATAAACAAATACCACAAGTATGTAGGGACAAAATTAGAAAGGCCAAGGCACAAAACGAGATCAAACTAGCTAGAGACATAAAGGGTAAGAAGAAAACATTCTACAAATACATTAGAAGCAAGAGGAAGACCAAGGACAGGGTAGGCCTGTTACTCAAGGGGGGGGGGGGGAGGAGAGAATAACAACAGAAATGTGGAAATGGCAGAGGTGCTTAATGACTTCTTTGTTTCGGTTTTCACCAAGAAGGTTGGTGGTGACTGGACATCTAACACAGTGAAAATGAGGTAGGATAGAGGCTAAAATAGGAAAAGAACACATTAAAGATTACTTAGATAAATTAGATGTCTTCAAACCACCAGGGCCCGATGAAATACATCCTAGAATACTCAAGGAGCTGACTGAGGAGATATCGGAACCATTAGCGATTATCTTTGAAAAGTCATGGAAGACAGGAGAGATTCCAGAAGACTGGAAAAGGGCAAATAGAATGCCCATCTATAAAAAGGGAAATAAGGACAACCCAGGGAATTACAGACCAGTCAGCTTAACTTCTGTACCCCGTAAAGATAATGGAGCAAATAATTAATCAATTTGCAAACATCTAGAAGATAATAAGGTGATAAGTAACAGTCAGCATGGATTTGTCAAGAACAAATTGTGTCAAACTAACCTGATAGCTTTCTTTGACAGGGTAACAAGCCTTGTGGATGGGGGGAAGTGGTAGACGTGGCATATCTTGACTTTAGTAAGGCTTTTGATACTGTCTCACATGACCGTCTCATAAACAAACTAGGAAAATGCAACCTAGATGGAGCTACATAAGGTGGGTGCATAACTGGCGGGAAAACCGTTCCCAGAGAGTAGTTATCAGTGGTTCACAGTCATGCTGGAAGGGCATATCGAGTGGGGTCGCACAGGGATCTGTTTTGGGTCCGGTTCTGTTCAATATCTTCATCGATGATTGAGATAATGACATAGAGAGTACACTTATAAAGCTTCTGGACGATACCAAGCTGGGAGGGGTTGCAAGTGCTTTGGAGGATAGGATTAAAATTCAAAATGATCTGGACAAACTGGAGAAATGGTCTGAAGTAAATAGGATGGAATTCAATAAGGACAAATGCAAAGTACTCCATTTAGGAAGGAACAATCAGTTGCACACATACAAAATGGGAAATGACTGACGAGGAAGGAGTACTGCGGAAAGGGATCTGGGGGTCATAGTGGACCACAAGCTAAATATGAATTAATAGTGTAACAACTGTTGCAAAAAAAGTGAACATCGTTCTGGGATGTATTAGCAGGACTGTTGTAAGCAAGACACGAGAAGTAATTCTTTCGCTCTACTCCACCCTGATTAGGCCTCAACTGAAGTATTGTGTCCAGTTCTGGGCGCCACATTTCAGGAAAGATGTGGACAAATTGGAGAAAGTCCAGAGAAGAGCAACAAAAATGATTAAAGGTCTAGAAAACATGACCTATGAAGGAAGATTGAAAAAACTGGGTTTGTTTAGTCTGGAAAAGAGAAGACTGAGGAGGGACATGATAACAGTTTTCAAGTACATAAAAGGTTGTTACAAGGAAGAGGGAGAAGAATTGTTCTTCTTAACCTCTGAGGATAGGACAGGAAGCAATGGGCTTAAATTGCAGGTTTAGGTTGGCTATTAGGAAAAACTTCCTAATTGTCAGGGTGGTTAAGCACTGGAATAAATTGCCTAGGGAGGTTGTAGGGGACTGGACTAGATGACCTCTCAAGGTCCCTTCCAGTCCTATGATTCTATGCCACCATCGTTGCAGCTATACCTTGTGAAGGTGGTTTCAGTGTACGTACCCTATTCCTGGAACATTGTGCAAGACATCCTCATCCTTTGTGAACTCTAAGATGCTACCTGGCAAGTATTCCGTGGGTCGCAGGTAATATAACCCTTTCCGTGTGGAGCCCTAGGCATGGATAACAGTATGAACCAAAGTAGGCCTGGTCTTAGCAGAACCATAACACACCAGGGATTAGCTTGCCAAGCACGCACCTTCCTGATCAGAGAGCATGGTACAAGAACATCCAGCGTTCTCAAGAGATGGTCCAGGAACACACTGCCCCTCCTTAGAGAAGGACGGGAGGACAGGACCATGGATTTTGTTCAATCAGCAGGTACAAGGTATAGGAGAATGACAAAAAGCATGTGGAACAGAATGCATAACCTGTTTGTACTGATGTATGCAAGGAGAGCCATCTTTGTATCGGCCATGGGGACGCTCCCTGTTATGCTATTGAGCCTTTACCTTGTCTCGGGCAGATGTGTGTTAGTGTCCCTGTGACCCATTGGACAGGGTGCTAGGACCGTGCTTTGCTAACAATAAACCTGGCTGAGTACCTTCGCCACCAAACCGAGCCTGTGGCCTTGAGTAACATTGAGATCTATGGATCAGCAGGCTGTATAGAGCCGCTAGCGCCGGTGCTCCCGAACAGCAGAACCAGCAGCAGCAGAACAGCAGCGCTCCGCAGCACAACCACCTCCGTGCAGAGCGGGCATGCCCAGCTGCCAGGAAGTAAGGCAGCATCAGTGTCACAGTTTCTAGATGCAGCGGCCCATCTCCTCTCTCTACTCTTATGTACATCATCACGTCTCAGTTTGGGGTGGGTGACGGGGAGGGACGTACTAGCAAGGTATACTGCTAATGCAGACATCACATATGTACCTTGGAGCTAACCATGTTCCATAACAAGATACTACTCTGATGTTTTCATTACAAATAAGTGAAATCCAACAAAGGTGGTTTCATGTGTCACCTGGCTTGTCAGTCAGAAGGGGCACGGTATCAAGGGCTCACATTTCAAAATGCTCAACAGTGACAAGGTGTCAGCAGGCAGATTCTCTGAACTCAGGGTCTTGACATTCAGAATCCACAAAAAAAACCCACCCCCACTCTCTGGACACTAAAACACGGTACTGCTCAATGCTTGCATTGGCTCCCGGTCTACTCATGGACTGGGCAGGGCATCATCCCTTCAGTGGAGCCATCATCCCTTCAGCTAGAACTCATAAGAAGGGGTTGAAGATTTTGTGAAGCTGTATGAAGTGATCCTACCTTTTGCCCTGGCAAGCCAGGCAGCCCAGGGCTGCCAGCGTCCCCCTGGAAGGTAAAGAACAGTAAATCAGTACAGAGGGGGAGCTCTCCTGCGTGCAGCATGGAAAATGTGTGCTGGAAATGCACGTTTCAGCGGTTGCATGGACCACCCCATGGATCAAGCATGTGAGGGGGCCAAGGGGCTGACAGCAACAAGCTGCATGGGTCCATGCCATGGCTCACCAGCACTGTCCTTCCTTCCAAGGCGAAGATTTCTCAGGCACAAAGGGCAGTCAGATGGCTAATTCCCAATGACTCATCAGGAGCCAGGTCCCTTTGTGCCTCTGGAAACCGCCCAGGCTTTCAGAGCACTCCTGGGGATGGGATGGGCTTTGTCCCTGCGTAAAAACAGCTCCTCGCTGGGAGAGGCACCGCCTCAGCATAAACTCTGCTCTGAGGCAAAGGATTAGCGCATATCACGGAAAAGTCCTGGGGGGACATCCTGGCTCCAGGGAATTTAATGGCAAAACTCCCTTTGTTTCAGCAGGGCCAGGATTCCTCCCCATGCGTCTCCCTTGCAGACTGACTGCGGGGCCGCGCTCGACTGGATAACAGCCCAGCGATACCCTATGTAATATGTACTACGAATCGGTCAGCGCTCAGAACGGACCGGACACGTGCTGGCCAGAACGACCACGCAGAAAGGCCACTGCCCAGATTTTTTGAGACAACAGCATAATATTCTAACTCCTGCTTTTCTCTCCGCTGACTTCTGTACTGCTCCTGGGGCGTTCCCACGTGATCTGAGCAATGCCTATTAGAGAAGAGGGAAGGATCTTCTGTAACACACGCCAGAGGGCCGGGGAAAGTTCCCCACTCTGCACAGGAGGGGGACTCCCCCGAGAAGAGCGCTGCCCAGGGACGGGGGCTGGATCAGCCCCAGGGACTGGCCATTTCATCAGAGGAGGCGTCTCACTGTACTGCTTGGCTGGGGTTGAACAGCTCAAGTCCTGCTAGGGCAGATAGGTACAAACAGATTCCCAAAGGCTCCTGACCTTGAGTCCGGGGAGTCCCGGTGGCCCCTGTATGAACAGTGAATAAATACAACACGGTATCAGGCAAATGAGCCGAATGAGCGCGTGTCCCCTCAGAAGCCCCTGAACCGCTGGGTACTTTGGTGTTTGTTAATAATTTCACTGCAAAATGACACCAGTGGAGCCCCCAGGATCACACGCTGCCCCTGGGGTGCTGTCACTCACTCCCAGCCAGCACCAGCAGGAGACAGCTTTTACCAGCATCCCCCCTCCCCTACTCTGCAAGCACCTGCCCCTGCTGGCTTCACACTCCCTGCCTCACAAGCTGGCCTGTTGGGGGTCCGGGCGGGCGAGCCGGCCAGCTGGGGGTCCGGGCGGGTACTGCCCAGCGAGCCGGCCTGCTGGGGGTCCGGGCGGGCGCTACCCGGCGAGCCAGCCTGCTGGGGGTCTGGGCAGGGGTTGGCAGCTACAGGCTGGAGCTGCAGGCATGAAGTCCATGGACTTGGGGTGGTGGTGGTAATTTCCTTGCTTAGCACCCTGTGCAATGCCTGGTTTCCTGGGCAGGGTGGAAGAATCCTCCGGAAGGGAGAGCCAGGGTTAACCGACGGCCAGGGGGACTTACCTGTGGCCCTTCGGGACCACGCTCTCCAGGAACGGCAGAAAGGACCGGCATCCCCGAGCCTTCCATGTCTCCCTAGGGTAACAAACACCCGGTGAGATGCAAACGCGGCTCACTCTGCCACCCGGGGCCGAAACAAGGGCCGAGGCACGGGAGCCAGGCTGTTCTGCAAGGCAGAACCACAGCAGGGAAACAGCGAATGGGAGCGGTGTCAGCCGGGAGCCCAGGGCCTAGCCGTCAGCTTAGCCTTTTCTTCACAGAGCGAACCAGCTGTGGGATGTGGTACCCGGGGCACGGCACACAGGCCTCCGAGCTCGGACAGCAAAACAGCAGCCGCCCGGGGAGCACCATCGCTGCACAGCTAGAACCCCCAGAAGCAGGCCCTTCCCCTCCCCGTATCTGCCCCAGAGCAGTGGGAAGGGAAAGGCTCCCCACACACTGGGAGGGACACCGGAGTTCTGCCTCACCACACAGCTGCAGGGCCTGCCAGCTCAAAGCCACTCGGCTAGCGGGTCGCAGGTCAGAGCGAGGGGGCTGGGAACACACGAGTCAGCCCAGAAAGGGGGTCCTACAGGCAAGAGCTGGGATCCCATTAGGGTCCCAATGGACGGTCCAATGCAGGCACCAGAGCGGGCGGACAACACGCTCCCCATGGAACCCCCTGAGTGTGGCCCCCCAGAGCACACAGGCAACGTGCCCCCTGCGTGACCCGCACAGAGCACACGCGCAACATGCTCCCGACGGGACGCCCCAAGTGCGGCCCCCCAGACCGTGTGGGTAACGTGCTCCCCATGGGATGCCCCGGGTGGGGCCCACCAGACCACAGGGGTAACGTGCTCCCCATGGGACACCCCAAGTGGGGCCCTCCCAGAGCGTGTGGGTAACGTGCTCCCCGTGGGATGCCCTGAGTGGGGCCTCTCCAGAGAGCACGGGCAATGCGCTCCCCGCAGGACCCCCCAAGTGGGCTCCCCCAGCACACAAGGGCAACGTGCTCCCTGCAGGATGCCCCGAGAGGGGCCCCCAGAGCACGGGGGCAACGTGCTGCCCCTGCAAAACGATGGCAGAAAGAGAGTGTAAGGATTTCAATCTGTTTAGCAGCCATGGCTGATACTTACAAATCCGGCCTCGTAGCCTGGCCCAGGAGGTCCAGCAGGGCCTGGGGGACCTGGTGGTCCTCGCGGTCCCATTGGTCCAGGAAGGCCTGCCAGCCCGGTTTCCCCTGGGGCTCCGGCCAGCCCCATCTCGCCCTTACCGCCCTGCAAGTGGGAACAAAAGGAACCCTGTCACACAGCCAGGTTATGGCCCCAGCTCTGAGGCTGCAGAGCCCGCAGCGGGAGAGTAGCTCCTGGGCACACATGGCCCTGTCTCGCCAGAGCGGGGAGCGTTCCCTCCCCCTTCCCCCCCAGCCGAAAGCACAGCACACGCCAAGACTGAGCAGCAATTCAGACAAACAAAACAAGTGACCCGAGACCCATGTCAGTTACCAGCACTTCCCAGCCAGTCCCAGAACCGCCTACGCTGGCAGACTTGATTAGAAACACAGGCACATTCCGGGTGAACGCACCTTTCAGGGAGGTGAGAAACTCACCCCTGTAGTTAGTGCCAGGTATGGTGAGGGCAGTTCTGCGTCCTCACTGCTCTGCGGGGGCACCCTTCCCCTGCCCTGCAGCACCCGTTCTCTCCTGAGCAGAGACTGTATTGCAAGACCAGTGCTCTCTGCAATGTGGAAAACGTCCCCCGGGGTGTGTATGTGAAACTACCAACCTCATTTTTCCTTAGGAAATGCTGCTCAAAAGCCTGCCAGGCTGGAAAGGCAATGAACTGAGTAAAGGTACCTCTCCACACACGTACAAGGAAGCAAGGGAATGGCTAGCCTCCCTCTGCAAGTTACATGTGCAGATCTCTCTTTCCTGCACTGTGTCTCCTAGTACAATTCTGTATGTCCTGGGAGCTCAGAGGCATGCCCCCGGCTTAGCCCAGCCCACTGCACGCTTTCCTCACGTCAGACAGAGCCAGGCCAGGGGATGCTGCACTCCGAAGTTTGACTTTGCATGACATTTCTCACTATCAGAATGTGAAGGCTCATGCAGACGGTGGGCAATACAGAATGAAAATACAGCAAGGAAGGAGCAATATTCGACAGAAACTGTGAACTCCGTTATCCACCCATTAACAACTCCTCAGACAATAGTAATGAAAAGGTCAGCATTTCAAATGCTTTCCTGCTTGCACTGAACAAATGCCTTTCTGAGTACCTATAAACCATACACTAGAGACACCGGCCATTAACCCAGGGGATGGATGCTTCTTGGGCTTGCTTTGCCTCAGTCTTTCACTAGTTTGTGTTCCTAGGCTGCCACCAGACTTCTTTAAATCCAGTAGCTCTTTATGTTCAATAACACATGGCATTTCCACTTATCTCATGGAAAAAAATTCCAACCAATTTTGTAGCATAAAAAATGTCATTCCATAATTGATAACACGTGATCACTCGCCCCCGGCGTGAGGCAGGTGGCCAGACCCCGCATGGCTGGGCAGAGTTTGGATGCATTGGACTCAACCTTTGGCAACAGCCTCCTACAAACACAAGCTCAAAGAGCGCAGATTTGCCATTGATAACCTGACATGTAGAACCACACAGAGCAATTGGATTTAAGGGACTTTCCTCCATAGGATTCTCCTATTTTTGACAGCGAGAGCTCTGAGACACATGCGCCTGTCTAAGCCATGCCGTCGGCATGCGTGCACGGAGCCTTTACCTCGAGCCTGGTCTCTCCCACAAGGGGGGATGTAGAGTAGTAAGAAAGCAGCTCTAGCAGGTAGGAAGGGATAGGAGGCAGGTTGCTCTGATTAGATGGGAAAAGAGTGAATGGAGACAGAGAGAAGAATGACAAGAGAAAAGAAATCATTTCCTATGCGCACTGGTGGCAGAGCAGACGTTACAGCCCCACAGTGTTCCAAAACGACCCTTTGCTGGGAAACAGGCTCCTACCTTCTGTTATGTCAGCACCAGATTCCACCCAGGACATAGCAACGAGCTAAAACCCAGGAGCCAGCTCCTGCCCTAGCTGGTGTAAATCAATGGAGCTCTGTCAACTTCACGGCTTGATGCCAATGTGCACCAGCTGGGCGTTGGCCCTAGCAGTTTAGGTTTAGTACAATGGATCCCTGTGCCCTCCCACTACCCCCCCAGAAGAGCGTCCATCTGACTGGCGCCCAGGCCTTGTGCCCACCCTGTGCAGAGCGATGCATCTCACCCGCTCCCAACAGCTGGTGACACGTCCTGGAGAACTAAAGATCTAGGTCCCGATTCTTTCTAGCACTCGGGCCCGCGTTTATCGTGAAGCCTCTGTGTCTCACTGCTGTGACTGAGTCACAATGGACCCAGTGCATGCTCCAGGGCTTTGGGGAATCGCTGTCTTGACCCAGAGCTTCCGTGGGGTTGAGTGGTTTTGTGGTTGATGTCCACAGACCCTCAGGAGGAACATGTGTGCTTCCAGGCACGTGCTGCCCTCACCCAGCCCAGCGACAGGGATGGGAAGGTAACATCATCATGACATGTTCATCATCAGTTACATGTGTGCTCTGGAGAGCGGGACAGAGGAAAGAGGAGGGACAGAACATAACCCAGTGGTGGGCAGAGGGGAACATGCAGGGAATGGAACCCACAATCAGGAGACTGAAGGAGCCACCGAATTGGTCGTGGGTAAATGGCCTAACTGTAGGTACCGATCCACTGTATTCATTCCCAATTCAAAAACCTCTGTGCACTGCTAGTCGACCTGGGAATGGTTGTTTCAGGAATGGCAATTGCTGTAAGTTAGCTGGCCAGCACACCTCTTCTTATGTGGATCAACTCCTGGATTTCTATTTCTATCCTATCTACTATTAAAACCTGCTTAGCATCACAAACTGATTCAGTGACAGAGCTGGCAACAAGATCTCTGGTCCCAGGCAGTGTCCCGGCACCACGCTGCCGGCCACCACTCAGGAGCCATGTGAGCAGCACAGCACATGTCACGTTTCCTCAGTCTCTTCCTGAACTTAGCCACATGTCACAGGCCTGCCTGTGACGCCTGCCACGAGCTCTCCCTTCCACCCACCCTGGCTGGGTGCAGCCTGCAACTGAACGAGAGCAGATCGATCCCCAGTGGAATCTGGGCGCTGGTTTCCGAGTCACCTGCACTACAAGGGGCAGAGGGTAGTGTAATCTCAGAGCTGGGGGACGGGCGGTTACTGTACCTTGGGTCCAGGAGCTCCGGGGAGGCCTAGGTCTCCTGGGTCCCCCTGGGAACAAGAAGGGAAGGAAGAGGGAATGGTCAGACAGAGTGCGGCAGGCCAGGGAGAGGGGGAGCTGTCCGGTCCAGTGGCACACTAGGACAGCTGAGGGGACTGTGTAACCTGGAAGTCGTGGTGGGTTACCTGTTCATACACTACTTAGGAATCCTTTCTCAACGCACAGCTAGGGATACAGTATTACCTCACATGGCCTTAGCTACAAGTCTGGGTACGCTTCCACCAGCAGAGCTACCACAGCTCCACACAAGATCCGATCCTGGGTACCCAGGATAGCCGCAAGAGCGACCAGAACAGCTTCCCCCACCAAGAAAGCTACCACAGTTAACCCAGGTGCGGCCCCTGATTTCTGGGGGCGCTGGCTCCCTGGTACACAGCGTGTGTGGAGCACAAAGGATCCTGCAGGGCGGGTGGCGAGTGCACAGACTCCAGCCAGGACAGTGAAGATGTGGCACGCCGTGAAGGACTGCAGCAGGCTTGCACAGCAGCCTCACACCTGCTCCACGCAGCGGCTGCATATCCCGCACTCTGTCCACGAGGGGAAGTTGGGAGCAGAGGCACCGTCCATAGTTCCGAATCAGCCGTGACTGTGTGCTGGGGTATCCTGCTGAACCCGGCTCGGAAACGGGGGTCTGGGGTAAAGTGGCATAACAGCTGCAGGTTTGCACTCTGTGGGCAGGAACACAGCCTGCGGGGACCAATGTCAGCCCAAGTCAGTGGCTAGCACCAGGCTGCCATCAGCTGCGGGCGTGCTGGGCAGGGCAGATGCCAACTGAACTGGGGGCGTATGAGTGGGGCGTGGGCTGCTTTATTTTCCACCCCCTGATAGCTGCATTTCCTGCTGTGCCGCCTGTCCTGTCCCTTCCATTCGCTCAGCACATCAGCAGCATGCAAGTTCCCTCCAGCACTTTGCCACCGAACCCTGCTTTGGGCCAGGCTTGCTCCTGAACTGGGATTTCTTATGATGCTGTATGATGTGTACTATTCTAGCGCCTAGAAGCCCATGCATGGCCCTGGATCCCTTCGTGCTAGGTGCTGCACAAACACAGAGCAAGCCCGCACAGCAGCAGTCAGCTCCCAGACTGCATGCACTGGCCTGCCCCCAGCCGCAGGTGTGATCTATCCCATACTTTTCACTGCCCAAGGCAAAGGGGTACTTGTTCTGACTCCAGGCAGGACAGAGCTACCCCCAGGCTCTCGCCTGCCCCTAGCCAGCGAGTTACTGCAAAGACTCTGTGGTTCTAGCCAAGGCCACGTGAAGAGGGGGCACATACCCGTTCTCCTCGAAGCCCAGGCTGGCCGGCCAACCCACTTTTTCCTGGAGGACCCGGAGGACCCTGCAAAGTTAGAGAGTTAATCTCAGTTGGAGGAAACATTTCAGAACTGGCATTTTCATGCTGGTTTATTGCATTAACTCTTTACATGTCAGAGGAAAAGGCC